TATTTTGTCATTTCATCATCAACTGCTATTTACTTTAACTTTACTGAAATGTAGATAATGTGATCATTTGCTGAAAGCGCCTGTATTATTTAAACTTCAATAAAAGAGTTTTAACTGCTACTGCCATAACATGAGATCGTAACAAAGAGCATCATTACAATATTTTTGTATTAAAAAGTTTGTTCATTTACCAAACCTATGCCTAGTATTATATTATTATACAAATTTAAAGTTCTGTATTATACCAGTGCTTAATTATATGCAGCTTTAGAGTTTGATACCTAAAAGTGATGTCATCTAGACCGGATTTATCTTAAATCAGGGCAGGCCCTGCCTGCCAGTGCAATGCTAACCCAAGTAGTAAATAGACCTACATGGCACCGACTCCAAATACGACTAAAGATAAAAATGGTTTATTATTATTTTACTTTTCGGCGGTGTAATTTTTTTAATATACAACCTGGCAGCAAAATCTGTTAGTGAACAATCAATAACCAAATCAGGGTGGGGGGGCTGTTTTCATACCCTTAGGGTTGAATTTTTTATTAAATTATAGGGGTCCTACTTCGGAGTATATCTACTCTTTCCAATTAAGAAAGAATTATCAAGATCATACATAAAAGTACTGTAGTGTAGTACATACTGAGAACCTCCTCCGTTTTTAACACGCTTTTATTAGTTTCACCTGTATGTTTGTTTCCATGTAACCGACTCCTGTGGACTCGATTTTGCCCAACTTCAAACGATCAGATTTACTTTAAACTTGGCAAATATATATAGATTAGATGACAATATAATATTATGGTACCGCCGAGCTGATCTGATGATGGGACTGGAAGGTGGCTGATGGAACCTTGGGCTGCCTACTAGTAAACATATCGAATTTAGGCTCATTACATTCGTCTTAACACATTCTGTTCTTTTCTCCTGACAACAAGGACCTAATGATGGACTGGAAGGTGGCTGATGGACCCTGGACTGCCTACTAGTAAAAGAATCGAGTTTGGGCTCATGAGATTCATCTTAACATAATAAAACTTGGCGATTATATGTTGAAGATGACAAAACAATATTATTGTAATATCGAGCTGATCTGATGATGGGGCGGCTGATGGAACCTTGGACGCCTACTAGTAAACATATCGAGTTTGGGCTCATTCGATTTGTCTTAACACATTCTGTTCATTTCTCTTGATGACGAGGACCTGATGATGGACTGGAAGGTGACTGATGGACCCTGGGCTACCTACTAGTAAAAGAATCGAGTTTGGGCTCTGAGATTCGTCTTAACACATTCTGTTCATTTCTCCTGACGACGAGGACCTGATGATGGACTGGAAGGTAGCTGATGGAACCTTGGCCTGCCTACTAGTAAACATATCGAGTTTGAGCTCATTAGATTTGTCTTAACACATTCTGATCATTTCTCCTGATGACGAGGACCTGATGATGGACTGGAAGGTGACTGATGGACCCGGGACTGCCAACTAGTAAACAAATCGAGTTTGGGCTCATTACATTCATCTTAATATATTCTGTTTATTTCACGTTAAAGGGGGGTAATAAAAAAAGTCTTGCAATAGTGAAGCCTTATCCGAAATGGAAAGAATACGTATTCAGTCGCAATAAACTCGTTATATATTTTGTAATAAATTAAAAAAGAAGAGAAAAATAAATAAAGAGTTTAAAAAACTAAAAACACACTTTTACTTACTGAACTAAAAATTCAAAATTAAACAAAATATACTCTCTGTTTACTTCATTAGGGCTTTAGAGTTAGCCATGTTTATAGTTGATATAAAGATATATATTATATAACTGAAAAAAGCGTGGAGCGCTTCATTATTAAATTTTAACTGAATTGTTGAAGATTATGCATCACGTAATATATTAATTGATTTGATAAATATTACAATGAAAAGCACCCCACGCTTTATCAGTTATATAATATATCTTAAAATCAACTATAAACAAGGCTTACTGTAAAGCCCTAATGAAGTAAACAGAGAGTATATTTTGTTTATTTTTGGCTTTTTAGTGCAGTAAGTAAAAGCGTATTTTTATTTAAGTTTTTTTAAGTTTCGGTTAAAAATAGGAGCCCTCTCTCCTTCCTTGTCCCTGGCCCTCCACACACCTAAATCCGGCCCTGGATGTCGTCATTGTTACAACCACGAAATGGATTCTCGCTTGAAGATAAATTAAAAGCTATACAACCAATCATTTACTATAGAATGAAGCCAAGTGTGACAGTATTTATGCAATACGATACGTCTGTTCGCTGTAGTTAGGCTCTAAGCTAGTTGCTCTTACGAAGCAAACATGGCTCCTGGTAGAAAGACCTTAGCCTTAGTTCGATTCCCATTCGAATCAATAAACTATTTATTCACAATGTGTCGTGTCTATAATCACGAAATTGTTTTTGGATTACTTAACTATTATTTTTAGATCCATTTATAACGTTGTCGGTGATTACGACCCAATGCTTCGGAGATTTGACAACTCCATCCTTCATTTATTTGTCATTTAAAAAAATAAAAGACTATTAATTTTCCTCTCTGAAATTGATGGGTCCAATCCCTAGATACAAATAAGTCATAACATTTAAGAATGATGGATGGTAAGCAGGTACTTCAGTAACTTCATAAAATTATTACTCGGTATCTTAAAATAATAATGTATTTTTTATCCCTTCCGTACTTTCTAGACATGTACAGACAGACACAGTACCCTACGTACTGTGGAGCCAAATCCAAGCTAAGAAAAAGAAGTTGATAATGCAGCAGCCGTGTTCAGTGTTGCTACCTTTGCCCTTTTCGGGCTTGATCTTAAACTTTTTGCTGTACGTAAACTCGTTTCTTCAGGCTTTAGCCCGAGAAGAGCAATCTAGCCCTTTTCAAGCGCTACGAAAACTTGGCACCACGATTCAACTTTGATGCGAAATTCTCAAATACAAGATGGTGCTAGAAACAATTTGTAATCAAGAGTTTGGAAATTCGGCGAAAATTATTTTATTTTATTTGATTACCTCATTTAAACGCGGATATCGAACCTGTTTTCAGTTCTATGAACATGATTAAAACTAAAACCCGGAACACAATGGAGTTAAAAGCTACGACATCCATACTACATATAGGATGGGTTAAAACGATTGAGAGAGTCTTGCAGTTCCCACAACGTGCCTACTGAAATAATAAAAAAGTGTGGGAGTATTTTGAAGTACTCGTTCAAATTGGCTAAGAACACAGATATCAATCAGCCATCAACATTTTTTGCTTCGGCAGATATGATTTTAAAAGATACCTACGAAGACTCTTATTTTTAAGAATTTACTTAAGTTGGTGCTGAATTTTAATAACTTTTTGCACTTTCTGAAATTACTATAGTTAATACTTTTTAAATAAATATTTAAAAAAAAATCAAAGGAAATTTCCGAAATCGGCCCACCATAATAAATACCACGAAAAATATAGTAATTATCATTATTGTATTGTACGAGAATGTAAAAACACATGCTTGAAGACTCCAGGAAAGTTGTGTATAAAGTGCCGAAAGAAATTAACCTACGCAATACCTGGTTAGAATTTGCTAAAACTGATCCTGCAACTTTATTGACTCATAGTAAAATTTATTTTTGCGAAGATCACTTTGATGTAAGTACTCATTGAATTATATTTTAAGTCTCTTCATTTATTATCAGTTTTAATAATACAAGTTTTAAAGTTATGTATGAATGACATTTAGTTGTTTATTATAAGAGACGTCCCAATCATGGCGGATGTGGCGAACAGCGTTTTCAGTGTTTAAAAAGTATAGATTAAAAATTATTATTTTAAATTAAATTTCTACAGCAATCTTCTGCTTTTATGAAGTGAAATCGATATATTTAGGTTCCTTAGGCCAAATACTTTAAGATATAAACATTTATTTAATACAATTCGACATGAATCGACTAGCCTATTGTTGATTTCATTGATAAAGAACTGAGATCTAAATGGGTGCCAAGTTTTGTAAGTACTAATCCCAAAATTTATATTCCTATAAAGTTTGGGTTATACTTATAATTCCAAATTAATTAAAATTACAACTTCTTATTTGCTTTAAAAGTATGAATTCTTAATTAGATACTCTTCAAATAACTTGGGTTAAATTGAAGATCAAGATTTGACTTGGATAGTTTTTGCTAGCACGCTAAATTTTTGGAAGAGTTAAGATGTGACCTTACAGTAAGAAAATCGGTAAATTGCGTGTTACAAAAAGAAGATGAGCAGATAAGACAATTAAAAGGTATGAAAACGAATAGTCTAGTAAAATGTTGTGCTTCTGTTAATCCTGTCGGCTTTGTGTTACTAATAAGATTGTACAAATTTGATGAAATAGTTTAAAGTAGCAAAAATTGTCGCAGCAGAAAATCTAAAAAAAGGTTCTTAATTTATTTAAAAATGATTTATTTTTGAATACAAGTTTCAAGATTAGGTATTTACAGAATTTGGCACCCATTTAGATCCCAATGTTTATGGCGGTGAAGTCGACAACTGTGCATATTTAAAATATAATTGAACTTAGCTACCATTTTCATTTTTATATTTGTCAATGGATTACCTTTTACCAGACTAATTTAATTTTGAACACATAAATACAATTAAAATGAATTAATTTGTTTTGAGAACTTTTAGTTCGCCCCGGCGGTAAGCGCCAAGTATATATATTCGTTAGTGAAACACTAGATGTTAAATATGATATATTTTACTGCAGTTAAAAAATAATAATACTTGCTATAAACAATTGTTTATCAGGAGGAAATTAAAGAAAAAGTTACAGTGAGTTCTAAGTTAAATGAGTTTAAATACTTAACCAAAGTTTCATGAGCAATTGGAGTACAGTGTTAAACTTCCGATGATGGAGTTGAAGACGTAATTTTCCCTTAGCATTGAGTTGATAAAAAGAGTATTAAAGTTTGAAAAGTTTCGCAGCGTAATAATAGATATTAATTGGGCACTTACCTCGGTCGCACGGCGAGTTGCGAGCACCGCGGGAAGTTCGGAACAAACTGAGAGTTCGGATCGGATGGTCGGCGACAGGAGTACGTACGTACGGTGCGCACTTTACGGAACTCAGTCACAACTCACAAGGACGATGCCGCCACTGATGTGTCGAATATGGGTCGTGATGTTAACACCGCCAGCCTCTGTTGGGACGATTGGACGCGCCAAAAAGTTATGAGGCTGTGGCCTACAGCCGAGTGCTTATATCTCGCCGAACGCCGACCCTTCGCGCTTGCGCAACCACCATTCATGTCACTCTCTCAATGACCACCCCCACGAGCGTCATCGTCATTTTCACATAAATATGTTTTTTGTTAACAACAATTAATGCCGCCTACAACATTTTGAATTACCATAACGGCTCAACTTGACGGGACTAGATTGAACTTTTCCACACATCGTATCTCACGTCACGCTGACTCTAACAATTTCCAATCAGTTTATAGGCCGTCACAAAATAATGTGTATGTTGCAAACACTTCATAACTTCCATTTAATAAAAGAAAAACGTTAACGTGTTCGATAAAAAAAATATTTATCGTTCTTTTCGACCTCTTAAAAGTTGTGACTGGAATTGACGAAAGAGTGACTGCAATGGACCAAGTTATCAAAATATGCTAGTGCATGCATCGACTATTCTTAACTTTTTGAGAAATGTTCCGTTAAAACTATGTGTGGATCGAGAAGAAGGACGGAAGTTTCGTCTTTTACACGTAGCGTTTAACTGGCATACTTACTGTACTGGAAAGTTAGGATTAAAGGTGATTTACGATCCGTTGGAAGTTGGTGAGTTATCCGGCTTTTGATAGACTGTAAGTTCAAGGGTGATTCGAACTACTGCAATAATGGCGTACATATTTCTCGTACAGTTACGTACTAAGACGGAGTCAATTTCTATGGTAATGAATACCCTCAAACAAAAGCACTCTATCGCGAGGGTGATCTGCTCTGATGTGGTGATTAAACAGTTGTCGAAGAATAATCAAACGAAGCACATTGTAAAATGTTAATCTAACTTTATAACCGGCTCGAACGTAGCTCGCCCTAACGTTTGCAATCATAAACGTTAACAGAAATATTAGGTACTTGTACTTTATTTAATCTTACGTTAAAATATAAGGGGCAGGTGGAACGAGTACACTCGTTAATACTTATGGGACACGAGTAAGCCAAATTTGCTTTGCATGTTTGCCTATTTTTAACGTAAATACGATGACAAATAAACATATGACTTGAAAATATAGCATAACCTGTAAGCGCTCAAGTGCCCGAGTATCACTCGCGTGTTGCCTACCCCCCATTCCTGAAGCCCTGGAACCATACACACCAAAAAAAACAAGAACCCCAAAAAGTAGTTTTATTTTACCGTGTTCTTTAAGGTGAATGTGTCTTTGACTAAGAACTCACAGCGCCATTTTCACCCGCGCCCGCCGCCGCTATGGGACCGCAACTCGCGTAGATTGTGAAATTGTAAGTAAAATACAATAATTGCAAATATCATGACACGATTTTCATTAAAATTTATATTAAAAATGCAAATAAATTTATATTATGAAATATTATTGTCAGATATTTTTATAAGAGCAAATATTTATATTTGTTATTCGCTTGTCAATCGGAAGATAATAGACTTATCTAATAGATTTAAATTTGTTGTAAAATTTAATTTTCTCTAAGTGACAAAAACATAATTTTGATGCCGGCGATGGCCTGTTTACAAGTTGTTGGATAGACGCACGGTTCATCAGCTCCACTAAACCTTGAAGGGTCATTGTCTGTGTAAATAGATAATCGATATTTTTCAACTAGTTTAAAAAAACCATCGGTACACAACACATGTGGCTACAACTTTCGGTTAACTTTCCATGTAGAAAATTTTAGGCGGTAATTTCCATATATAACATAACATAATAATATGTAAAAAGACGAAAAAATTACATTCCATTTGTAGAAACCTGCTTTATTTTTATAGTATTGTTTAAATGTCTGATATATGTCTACTTCGTTTCAAAAGAGAGTCGTAATACAGACTTCTGTTTATCACCCTCTGAAAGCTTAAAAACGGACAATAAATTAGTAAAAAATAAAACTACTTATGAAAATGGTCTAAATATCTATGCCTATTCTTTTAAGGCAATTTTATATCTAGTGTTGTTAAGATATTTAAAAATTAGTGCTTTTTATATATTTTCAAATCTACGACAAGACCTTTATAGAGAACGGTTATGCTATGTAGGAACTTATACGAAAATATTGTTACGTCAAACCTTTACTCTCAAAGTCCAATGCTCAAAAAGCATATTAATGACATAATCACATAAATGTCATTACCAATATTCTGATAAGTATTTCCATATTACTGCGTGCGCTGCGGGTCACGGAACGGACGTCCGCGCCGCGTGCAGTTTTATGTCATTTGATAGAACAGCGTGGCGGGGGAGACGCGTTTAACGGCGGGTACACATTGGGCGCTCGGCGTTGCGTTGAGCGCGTTGATTGCATACACACGCCGCGCTCGGCTGGGCGTTCAGCGAGCGTTTGCTATATAGGGTGTGTTTCTGGCAGTACGAAAATGGATGCCGAAGTGATTACATGTGTGTGGCTCCTCTACCGTCGTAGTTTCTTTCTCCAAATTATCTTCGGGATTACAAAAAATTTCAATCATCTCCTCCCAATTACGTATTTTTAGCGTCTTATTTTTTTTTAATCGGGACATTTCATGTCCCAAATAGCTGGTCGTTTTTGGATTTCATCAATAAAGAAATCTGTGTCAAAATGTTCGGTGTCCATTTTTCCGTTGAACTGACGTCTACACTACACCAAAGCGCGCGATCAAATGTACAACAAAATGGCGGCCCAAGTATCTCGAAGCGCGCAGCTAACGCCCGCGCAACGCGCGATCAAACGTAAAATATGAGAACGCGCGTTTGACGCACGCTTGACCAGAATCGCGCGCTTGCATGTGTACACTTCAATAGAACTCCTGGTTCTCGAAACGCGCGTTAGCAAAGCGCGCGTTGGAAAACGCTTAATGTGTACACCACTTAAGGGTACGTTCAGATGACAAGCGCTTAACGCGCGTTGAACGCGCGTTAAATTTTTGTATAGTGTTTACATGACACGCGGCGTCGGGCTTCGAACGCGCGTTGCCGCGACCGTCTGGTATTCAGTACAGATGGACGTAGAAACAATTTTAACAGTGATTCTATACCGAAGGCAGAAACGACGCGACAGAAGACGGAGATATTGGGTAATAATAATAATCGCTTTTTGTCATGTCCCAAATCGCAGGACGTTTCTCTATTTCATCTATAAATAATTCTGTATTAAAAGCTTCGGTTTCCATTTCGGACGATTTCTGGACGGACTGACACTGAAGAACCCTAAAAACACGTCCATCCGCGGCGAAAGCGCACGCTCAACTGAACGGAGATATAGAAAACCAATGATCTCAAAGCGCGAGTTGACGCGCGCTGACAACTGTCGAGCCCTAGCGCAGCGTTCAACGCGCGCTTTATTAAAACGCGCGTTAGCATGTGTACAGCCTGAATAAAATGTATGTAGTTGAAAACGCGCGTTATCAAAACGCGCGTTGAGCGCTTGTCATCTGAACTTGCTCTAACGCAGCGCTGGCCTATAAAATAACATGAAACAAACACGCCGAGCGGACGCCCACTCCGTGCTCACGCTTAAGACAGCGCAGGCTCTTACTCGACTATAGTAAAGTCAGGAACGGAGTACGATTTTCGCATTCTATGTTTGTATGCTCGATTGAACAACAATAATTACGAACCAACAAGCTTTTAGCTCTTTCAAAATACACCACAAACGATGTTCTATTGTAATATTTACTCATTCTATATTTGTATGCTCGCTCGATTGAACAACAATTATGGTCAGGCAATGAGACTTTTTACGCTTGCTAACGCGCTGACAACTGTCGAGCGCTAGCGCAGCGTTCAACGCGCGCTTTATTAAAACGCGCGTTAGCACGTGTACAGCCTGAATAAAATGTATGTAATTGTAAACGCGCGTTATCAAAACGCGCGTTGAGCGCTTGTCATCTGAACTTGCTCTAACGCAGCGCTGGCTTAAAAATAACATGAAACAAACACGGAGTACGATTTTCGCATTCTATGTTTGTATGCTCGATTGAATAACAATAATTACGAACCAACAAGCTTTTGGCTCTTTCAAAATACACCACAAACGATGTTCTATTGTAATATTTACTCATTCTATATTTGTATCTCGCTCGCTCGATTGAACAACAATTATGGTCTATAAGACTTTTTCAAAATACACAACAAAAATTTGAAAATTTATTTTTATGCCATGGTCATGGTAATCCATCTGTGAATGATCGTGTTTGTTTTAAAAAATATTAAACTAACAATACAATTGTGTTGATATTTTTTCATCAATACTTATTTTTAATAAATTATTATAGTGCGTAACCTATCATACACTATAAAAACCACATCAAAATTAAGTAGGTAAATACTTTATAACCTGTTTAAGAGTGTTTTACTAATCACTGTAACTGCTTTTGTCCGGCAAATAAAATTATGTTTTCGAAGACGAGTTAGTGGAAAGCTGCCTTTATCACACTATGCAAAAGACTACCACCGAAAATAGATTAATAAATTATGTCGTTCAATTCTTCGCTCGCGTCTTCGCTCGGGTTAGATTTCTTTCTTAGCGCGGGCCTACTTCGTAATAGGTATAATATATGAACGTTAATAGAACAGTCAGAAATGATTACTTTTTTATATAATATAAAGATGTATTTAATATGTATTTAAATGTACTTTTATTAAATCAATAAACAGGTGAAAATAAAACCTTAGTGTATCTGAATTGTTTAAATAAAAGGCAAGGCTAAGACAGACAAAATAAAAATATTTCGTGTCTGGAGAAAAGGTCTGGACTATTTTCATGTATTGTTAAGATATGTCGGGTTGGCGTTCAAAATTATAAAACCAACGCTTGATAATGCAAATTGTTCATGAAAATATTCTGCATACTGAATTTTGAATTTTTTTATAATAATATAGGGAGTTTTGTATAACCTTGAGTCGAAACATAAAGTTGCAGTTCGATTGACAACCCTAGTATTCACTCCCCTCCGCCTTTGATCTT